AGAGAGAGAGAGGAGGGGGGGGGGGTGGGAACAGGGATAGAGAGAGAGAGGAAGGATGACTGTTGATAGATGACAGATAGAGGGGGTGTATGGGGAAACATATATGTGGCAAGGGAATGTTAAAGAGACGGTATTATTGAGTGATGCTCAGACGTAAGGATGGATAGTGGAATCCATACTGCGCCATGCATGGTACTAGGCTCTCAGGCTGGCTGGAGACCAGTTCATTGATGAGGTTAATCGGAGTGAGACAATGTACAGGGCAGGGAGTCGAATACATGTATAACATCTTAAACATACCCCACACAGCTCTATGGCATCGACGAACAGGGATTCGGTCCCCTTTATAGCTTCCAGAGTTTGTGTTTTCACCTATCCTGGGGAGGTGGTGTGGGGGCTCAGAATTTGTCCCCTGGAGAGGAAAGAAAGAGGCAGGGACCCAACTAAGAATGTTCTGTCCTTTGCGGGAACTTGTATAAATTCCTTCCCCTTGTGTAAAAGCAAACAGGAGGAATAACAATAACAATAAAAGGGTTTGTTGTTGCTAGTCCCTTTCCCAGAACTGATCTCATTTTCACTGACAGGCCTTGGGCGCCCCCAACACCAAACTGCTTCTCTGATTACTGCAGGGAGAGGTTTTTGTCTGAGCTCAGACTGGCTTCCCCTCACTGTGTCTCTCGCACAGTAATAGCGGCCGGTGTCCTCGGGCTTCAGGCCAGTCATTTGCAGATACAGCTCACTCTTGGAATTATCCCTGGAGACGGTGAATCGGCCTTTCACTGAATCAGGGTAATATGTACTCCCACTGGAGCTTATAGCAGAGACCCATTCTAGTCCCTTGCCAGGAGCCTGACGGACCCAGTGCATGTAGGTGCTGCTGAAGGTGAATCCGGAGGCTTTGCAGGAGAGGCGGAGAGAGTCTCCAGGCTTTTTCACATCCCCTCCGGACTCCACCAGCTGCACCTGGGACCGGGCACCTGGGAATAAAGACAGGTTATAAATCTCGATATAAAAAACAACGATAACACAGTATTCTTCTAACTGCCAGTTATTTAGAGGAGGAAAATACCTTCCAAAGCTGCTACAGCGAAAATTACAAGGAGCAAAAATCCCATTTTCCCTGGTGCTGGAGGGAAAGTTCTCAGGGGACTGGCTGGTCACTGCACAGACCCAGGGGCTGCGGATTGTGTCTCCAGGTGCAGCCTGGGCAGAGAGAGGCACAGATTTAAACTGGAAACTGTCTCCCTCATTTGCATGCCCCCGCGTTATAAGAGACACACACTCCTGCTGCCAGTGATCTGACTGACTCACCCCAGGGCTCCGGGTGCGGGACTCAGACTGTCCCGTCCTGTGTCTGTGCAGCGCCGGGCACAGGGCGCTGGGATCCTCCTGACACTATCGGACCCCTGGGAGGAATGACCAGCTCCCTGCAGTGACTGTATTTCCTCACCCAGGAACTTAGGGCCTAGTTATTGTAAAGTGACATGGCGAGGGGAGGGGAGGGGAGACTCAGCTCTGGAGCCCCGTCCCCTGCACAGAGGGGCCATGTAATGTCCAGTCAGTGGGGTCCATGTCCGGTGAGGCTTCAGGCAGAACTGAAGGGAGATTGTTATTCACGATGGATATTCATATTCGTGTTCACACTTCTATTCCCATTCCCATTCTGACTCCACTTCCCATTCATACGGGGATTCTGTAAAATAAAACTGAGCACAAATCAGTGCCTTAGTGTTGGCTGTTGGGGTTGGTTCCTGTTATTTCTTAAATTCAGCCATTTTAGGAGCCAAACACGATGTTAACCCGCTGTTGGTTTTGGTGATGGGCTTTGTCACTGTGGTCTAGTCTCTCACACAGCGATACTGGGCGGTTTCTTCCGCTCTCCTGCTGCTCCTTTGTAAATACAGAGGGTTGCTGGGATTGTCTTGGGAGACAACGAATCGCATTTTCACTGAATCGGTGTAATAATGAGAACAATTTTGTGTATACTGCGCCCTGGAGACCCACTGCAGACGCTTCCCAGGAGCCTGGCGGACCCAGCGCTGAAGTGTAACCCGGAGACTGTAGAAGAGAGGCGGAGTCAAGGGCACCTGCAAGTTCCATGTACAAATGAGCCATTTATGTAGGTGCAGAGTTGAAAAAAACATGTTTTCCAACCCCCCAAAGCCCCTTTTCAGTCTTGTCCCCAAGACTGTGTTGTGCTGTTTGCTCATTGCTCCCCCGGTGGGGAATGGAGAAGGGGACTCTGCAGCCCCCCTTCTCTCACTGACCCCCCCTTTGTATTATCATTTAAAACAGAAAATAAATATTTGGGGGTTATTTATTCTTTTAATCCAAGATTTTTTTGCTCCAATGAAAATGTTCCTTGTGCCAGAAAAAGGCAGCTTTATCTGAAAAATTATTCAACTAACCAGAAAAACAAACAAACAAAAAAGAAAAACAAAACAAAACAAACAAACTTGGTGGGTTCTAGTGCCAAACTGAGAGATCACGGCCCTTCGGCTTGACTGTATCTCTGACAGTGGTGGAAGAAAGCGGAATCCCAGCATGCTGAAGTAAAGAGGGTGCTAGACTGAACCCCAATTAATCTGGTTGAGGATTTATGGCCTGTATTATGCAGGTGATCAGACTAGAGTATCATACTGCTCCTTTCTGGCCTTTAATTCTATGAATCTGTAACTGTCCCAGAAGTTGTGTTCATTTTTTCTTTGGTGTCTGATAAGGACCACATTCAAGGGACCTAGGTCCCTTGTCCGGCCCATGGGAGATGAGATCATGATATGCTGTGAGACCCTGAGTGAGCAGAAGCATCTCCAAACTGATCTAAAGCACTGGATTGATCCATGCTGTCACATTTAGCTCAGGAGTGATTATAGCCTTGGATGATAAAAATACTCAGCTCTGTAACAGAGATTTGGGAAAGGATGATGAGCTTTAGTGTCCCCTTTTCCGGGGTGGATAAACTGAGGCACGGAGAAGGAAACTAATTTGTCCGAGGCCTGTTGGCTGTTGGATTTGCCCAAGGCCCGTTCGAATAAAAGCCAGGTCTCCCGAGACCCAGCCCAGTGTTCTAGCCACCGCACTACACTGCCTGACACCGATTAATGCAACATTTAAATAATTATTTGAGCACAGGGACTTGAAGATGGGCCTCCCTTGATCCCAGAAGAATACCCTGAACACCGGGCTATGGCTTTCTCATCACAAAGACTCTTTAATTATCTGAACCAAGTGGAACAACTTCAAGCGCAGCTCTGTGGAGATGAGTCCCCTGGAAAACCTTCTAGCCGGTCCCTGGGCACTCTCCTGGGAGGTACAAGATCCACCTTGAACTCCAGTCTCTGGCTCAGGCACTGTGGGATAGAGAGGCATGGTGCTTAATTCGAGGCTGTAATTTCCACTGGGAGCCAGGCAACTATAGGCAGGTGTTATAATAATGAGCCTTTGACCCTTATATGATGCGTACCCCCAGGACTCCCTAGCTTATTGCTCCAGCCAGTGCCCCCAGTGGGGCGGGTCTGGTGTTTAAACATTGTCTGAGTCTCTTCCCATATTTCCAGATGTTCAAACCTCGAGCACCCCAACCAGCTAACTCCAGAGCGTGGCTATAAGACAGAGCTTGGTTTATGTCCTAGGTCCCTGGCTGTTTGTGTCCTCCACTCTCAGGCTGTTGATTTGCAAATGCTCCAGGCTGTTGGCGTTGTCTCTGGAGATGGTGAATCGCCCTTGCACGGTATCAGCGTAGTAGGCGCTTCCCTGACCAGCAACTCCAGCCCATTCCCAGGAGCCTGTTGGACCCAGCTCATGTAGTAGCTGCTGAAGGCTTTGCAGGAAAGGCGGAGAGAGTCTCCGGCCTTTTTCACATCCCCTCCGGACTCCACCAGCTGGACTTGCGGCCTGGCCCCTGCAAATTCAGATTTGTTTAAAAGCTTGATTCTATCAGAGTCCGGAACCCAGGCTAAACTTAATTGCCTTCGTTGTTACCTGGGAGAAGTGACAGAATGAGAATTAAGTTTAGCCAAAATCTCATTTTCCTGGGTTCTGTGAGAGTTAGAAATTCCGAGGGGCGGAGCGAAAGCATTTTCTTCTTGGAGGAGCTGCAGGACCAGAGACGTGGCAGGATTTAAACAGGGTGATTAGCATTTGATTTGCATAGACACCCCTATATAAGGGAGAGGTTACCCGGGCGGAACACCGTGAGCGTGGCGGACAGGTACGTAGATGGGATGAATGTTGATAGATAGATAGATGTGTATGGGGGTAGATAGATGTATGGGGGAAGATAGATATTTGGCAAGGGAATGTTAAATAGACGGATTTACTGAGTGATACTCAGACGATAAGGATGGATGGTGGAATCCATAATGCGCCATGGTCCTAGGCTCTCAGACTGGCTGGAGACCAGTTCACTGATGAGGCTAATAGGACTGAGACAATGTACAGGGCAGGGAGTGAATAAATACCGTATGTAACATTTTAAACCTACCCGACACAGGTCTATGACACTGACCACCAGCAATTCTGGCAGAAGCCTTGGGCCCATTTATACCTGCCAGAGTTTATGGTTTTTCTTATCCTGCTTTCTACCCTCACACGGGAACTGAGAGGTTTACATGGGAATTTTAAGATTTTTCTTTAGCAGATAATAGTTCCTTTAAACCCACATCAGTGTCTGTAATAGAATATTTGGGAGTGAGTGAATCCCCACCACACCCAGCGCGGGACACCCCGTTCCCGGTATCTCCGCCTCCTGTGAATCTAGATCTGACTGAACAGCCGGGTTCATTTCCCCCATTTCAAATGGAGGAAATTACTGTCTCCTGTGAGCTCCCAGCGCGCGGCCTGTCAGCATCAAACCAGCTGGGACTTCCTCTGGTAACCGCCACGGGAGGTTTTTGTCTGAGCTCAGACCGGCTTCCCCTCACTGTGTCTCCCGCACAGTGATACCGGGCGGTGTCCTCGGGCTTCAGGCCGGTCATTTGCAGATACAGCAGGTTGTTGGGATTGTCCCTGGAGATGGTGAATCGCCCTTTGACTGTATCAGCATAGTATGTGCTAGTCCCAGTGCCGCTGTTGATACCGGCGACCCACTCCAGTCCCTTTCCAGGAGCCTGACGGACCCAGTGCATCCAGTAATCGCTGAAGGTGAAGCCGGAGGCTTTGCAGGAGAGGCGGAGAGCGTCTCCGGGCTTTTTCACATCCCCTCCAGACTCCACCAGCTGGACCTGCGACCGGACACCTGGGAATAAAATCACGTTACGAGTCATATCAATATTGTTTGCGAAGAACACAATATTCCCCTATATCTATAAAGAAACTAGTACGAGAAAATACCTTCGAAAGCTGCTACAAAGAAAAGGAAATGGAGGCAAAGTCTCATTTTCCCTGGTGCTGGAGGGGAAAGTTCTCACGGGATTGGCTGGTAACTGCACAGACCCAGGGAGCTGCTGATTGCGAATCTGGTTGCAGCCTGGGCAAAGAGAAAGACCGATTTAAACAGGAAACAGTCACCCCTATTTGCATATCCCCCCCTTTATAAGGAACAGCAACTCCTTCCCTGAACGATCACACTTTCTGCTCTGTGGATCCAGAACAAAGGAGGAAGACTCATTGTTAGAGAAATAAGGATTGAAAGAGATCTCAATCCCTTAAAATGATAGATAGATATGTAAGCAGAGTCAGGATGAGCTCTACCCTGACATCTGGTGGTGAATTATGGCGAGTGTGGAAAAGAACTCCAGGGGCTGATCTGGTTTGCATAGGCACACCCACTCGCCTGGCATGAAACCACAGCAACTCAAAGTGGTTACTTTGGCTGGTGTGGGATCCCCAGTTTCTCTGTTATTGGGGCAGGAAGAATAAAATTTTGTTACCCTGATTCTGTGAATCAAGGCCAGTGGAACTGTTGTATGACAGAAGGACTGAGTGAGTCATTCACCATTACCTAAGTAGCATTTGCTTGTCAAGGGGCATGGGTTACAAAACCCAGTGAATAGAGAGAGGATGGGGACAGGTATTTGTACCTGATGGTATGGCCCCCTCCCCGAGGGGGTTGAAACACCAATTGCACTACATTCTCTCTCCACTGTTGAATGTCAGAGCTAACTTTGATCCCCTTAGGAGTCTAGTTACAGACTGCTGAGCTGAGTACGCTTTGGGCCAATAGT